CCGTGCAGCCCCCGTGTTGGACAGGTGGTTGTGTGTGTGTGTGTGTGTGTGTGTGTGTGTGTGTGGAGAGAGACAGCGACAGCCACAGCCGGGAGACCGTGTGCCCCGGGCGGAACAGGGCCCCGCGTGCGCAGGGGGCGGCGGCCAACTCGGCACTGGCCACGCTTCTCCGCTTCTCCGTTTCAGTTCTCCCCAGACCTCCCTTTGGCTTCTTTGGGTCCTTGGCACCTCCAGCCATCCCGCTGCTCTTGTCCCTGTTCTCGGGTAAAAGCGACCAGCGCTCTCCGATGAGAGCTCCGGGTCACCCGCAGCCACGAAGCCCTTGACATTTAGCGAGGGTTCGTGGAGCACTTGTATAGGCACACAGCAGAACGCTAATCCTATTAAAGATATTGTGTCATTGGGGAGGGGGGGTGGCTCCCCAGCGGGGCCGAGCAGGCCTCGCGCCCATTGGCCAAATGCAAAGCAGGGGGCGGGGCCGAGGGCCCGGGGAGGGGGCTTCAGGCGATTGGCAAAGGGGTTGGGCCGAGCGCTGGGCTGGGACTGGGCTGGGAGAGGTGTGCCCGGGGAGCCTGGATCCCGGCGCCCTTCTGCCTCGCGTGGAGCAGCCAGTGCAGCCCGGAGGCGAGCTGACGCCCTGGACTAAGAAATCAAATTGCAGCCTCCCCAAAGCCGCTAAGTTACGCCGGCGAGCCGGTTCCCGAGGAGCGTTCGCGAGCGTGCACAGACCGCGCGGCGCAGCGCTGCAGTGCCCTCCCAGGCCAGCCAGCCCGGAGCCCGGAGCCGAGTGCCTCGGAGAGGCAGCAGCCCCGGGGCGCGGGGTTCGGCCGAGAGTGCACCGCGACACACAGAAGGGGCGCGCAAGGCTCCGCCGGCCTGCCCGCAGCCTGCGCCCCGACTTGGGCGTCCCCTCGGTCCCACTCTGGGAGCAATGCCCCCCGCCCCTTACGCCCCCCGGGAACGAGGCGAGCATGGAGAAATCGAGTAGTGAGGATTCTTCGATCCACCGGAGTCCATCTTTGGACAGCAAGGACTCCGACTTTGCCAAGCCGTCCACCTCGGGCCGCCCGTTCGGCCGCGGCTTCACCGCCGGCGCCTTCTACGGCACCGCGGGCTCCAGGGGCCAGAGCCGCGCGGAGGCTGGCGTGAAGGCCGACAAGTACGATGCACCGAAAGGCAGCAAGTACGTGGTGTTTTACCTGGACCTGTCCTTTGTGTTCCTCCTAGAATTTAAGAAGTGCAACATGGCCAGGGGCTGCCTCTGCTGCTTGAAGTACATGATGTTCCTCTTCAATTTGATATTCTGGGTAAGTGCTTCCGCTTATCCTTCTCGCTGCCCTCCGCTCCCCTTTGCGTGCCGTGGCGTGAATGCCCGCTCCCTCTGGCCTGCTGCATTGCTCTGCCAGTCTCCCCCTCCCCTCCCGTGATCAGTTCCCGGCTCTCTCCTTCGGGGCTGAATGGAGGCTCGGACTGCCTGGCTTGTGGGAGAGACCTGCCCGGCTCCTGGGGGGGCTGGCAAAGTTTGCGACCTCCTCCTTCCCCCTAGGAAACTCATGCTGGAAGCGCTTCCAGCCAGGTCAGGCAGTCCTGGCTTGGGGGCAGAATCTGTAACAGCTGTGTCCCTGAGCTGGCGTTGGCCACCAGTGAGGACGCTTCTGAGTTTCTGGTTTCCCTCCCGAAGCACCAGGATGCAGTCGGCAGCATTTCACGGAGCGCGGAGGGGGTGGGTAGAGGTTACATCTCCCCACTGCTTTCTGTGGATCCCAGGCAAAGGCGCAGGGCCCCCTCCCAAGCTAGTGGGCTGTCTGGTCAGCCCTCAGATGTGCCCCAGTTGGGGCTTGTGTGCGAAAGACGGGGCGTGGGGGTTCCACTGCTGGGTGGCTGCTGCTGCTGCTTTTGAGGGATTGCAGTATTCTGGATAGGGAGCTGGCCACACGTGCCCCAGTTCCAGTGACCAGAGGGACAAAGGGAGTTGGTGAGCCCCGTCCTAGGTGAGAATATCAGCGGGTGGGGCTCTGGAGTTGCTCTGGAGGTGGCTGTGTGCACACGTGTGTGTCAGGAATACTAGTTAAGCACTCTCGAGAACTTCAGTCCTGCTCTGTTCCTGCACCGTGACTGGGGCCTCGTCGTCTTCCCTAGTCAGCCCAGATGGGGTTCCACCCCAGGGTCTGGCCTCCCACCTGCATAAGGTGGCCAGCTGCCCACGCCTAGCAGGAGCACCGAGGGCAGGGGGACGTCATTCAGAGTGAAGCTGGGAGAGGCAGGTGTGCTCTGGGTCATCTTTCATGACCCACTTTAGCTGAAAAACGTGTGTGTGTGTGTGTGTGTGTGTGTGTGGAGGGGGGGGCAGCTTGTCCCATGCAGGGACAGCTCAGACAGCTCTAGCCTTGCTTCTGCATTAGCTTCCTGGGTGACCTTGGTCGAGTCACTTCACCTCTTGGGCTCTGGGCTTCCTTTCCATGCCAGTGGGGGTCTCCCTCACTGTCCTCCCTTATTAATTACGTGACATCGTGGGGACGGTGTCATCTGAACTCACCTTTGTTCTTGCTCTGTGGAGGGAAATCCCCTTCCCCAGCTGGGGCATGGGCCCCCGCTTCTTTTTCAAGGACTCTGGTCTGCAATTAGTTGAGTTGGGTTTTTCCAGAAGTGCCCATGGGCCAGGGCCGTCCGGCCACTGCTATTTCGGAGGTTACCTGTCATGGGCTGGGGCCTTGTGGCAGCTGGGGCACAGGCTCCCATTCTTTTCCTGGTGATGAGAACCGTTGGAATGTCAAGAATGACTTTGTAGCTGCCTCGTGGGCAGGACCTTCTGGCTTTGGACTCACTAGCCAGCGTCTGTGTGAGCCAAGTGCTGGTGTAGGTTTCTCTGGTGCCTGTGGATTCGCACAAATGCTGCCCTTTTGGGGCTCACAGCTTCCTTCTCCTGTTTCACAGCCCCGGCCTACCTTTCCGTTTGGCCCCACCCTGCCCGTTTCAACTGGACGCTGCTTACTTAGAAAGACCCTGAGTGGATGCTCAGTGCCCCGGCCAGCTACTCTCCGACTGCGCTCGCTCCTCCCCGCCCCCACTCGCCACCTGCTGGCCGGAGTTGGTATAACCGCCTGTGCCTTTCTGCTCTAGGTCAGTCCCAGCTTGGTTTGGGGACCTTGTCACAGGTCAGCACAGTGGTCTGTGCCCTCTGCTTATTGTTTGCCTGTAAGTGAGCAAACGGGGCCCAGAGCTGTGAACCTGCAGCATGCTGGGATGTGTGGGTTTTTTAAAAGTTAGTGTCAGATTTGCCTCTGGCGAAGGCTGTCCTGGCCCCCTTGCTGCGGGGGGACAAGCAACTCTTCCCACCTTCCCTTTGAAGCTTGCAGAACTTAGTGAGTAGGTGAAGTGCCCTCTTCTCTGGTCAGTAGTGAGAGAAGTGCTGTCTCTTCCCGTTAGCAGGTACCTACACGCTCTTGCCAGGCGCGAGTGGCTTTCTCCTACTGAGTTATCTGATTACAGGATATTTTCAGAATTCCCTGACTTGCTATGAACTAGGAAACCTACTTCTTTTAAGCTAAGGCCACACGCCGTGGACCTTAGGAAAGATGGGGATTTGGTAGCAGAGAAGCAGTGCTTGTGTGCGGGAGTGTGTTTGCTGCCGTGTGGGCGCGGGCGGAGCACGCCTGCACGAGTTAGCCAGGATTGCGCCTGGTGGCCACTGCTCCAGACAGATGAAGACTTCCTGCAGGCAGGCGCTGGCCCGACTTGGGGGAAAGAGAAGAGCCCGTGGCAGAATGAGAAGAGAGTGTCCCAGCCTCGTGGGGCGATGGTGGGGCAGGGTCCCTGGAGGCCTCTGCTGCTGCCTGTACAGGGACAGGGTGTGGGGGTGGGCGAGGGAATACTTGGGCTGCTCAAAGCCGGCCTCCTGGGCCTGGAGTGAGTGTTAGGAACTATGTAGCCATCACTTACTCTAATCTCATGGCTCAGAGCCCAGAAGGAGGCTTTTCTTCGCGTTAGAATTGAACCCTGAGACCTGCAGGCGATACACAGAGCTCTCCCTGTAGAGCCCGGAGCCTACCCAGTAGTTCTCCAAACTCACTGCTGCCGCCACACCCCTGCTCTCTGAGCCCGCTGGGAGGCCTCCCAGTGCAGAGAGGTGCAGCTGTCTACACTGCAACCCCTCACCAGTCTGAGTCCCTGGTTCTCTGCCACTGGGTGGAGCTTCTTAGGTGCTGCTATTGGCGAGGACCTGGGTGACATCACTGGGGGTGGGGTGGGAGGCGGGGCTGTGCCCTGGAGCTCCTCCTCCTTACTGAGAAAAGGGCCAGTGCCTTACAGGCCACTGGGTGCGTGCCTGCTGGGGACGGGTCCAGGTCTGCGCTTGGAGCCTCTGACTTCACCAGGCAGTGCTAGCCAGGTTGGCACCCTGGAGCACTGTGGGAGTTTGGGGCACCGGGAGGGCAGCATTTCCGGGGGCCTGCTGTGGGTGTGAGTGTAGAGGAGGGCCTCCGTGTTCACCCTTCTTTGTCTCTTGTGTCTCCTGCCCAAAGAGAGTACTGTGTTCTCAGTGGATAGGGAATAGGAGGTCTGCGTTTCTTTAAAAAAAAATTATTATTTTATTTAACTTTACTTATTTATTTAAATTTGATCAGAGAGAGAGAGAGAGAGGAAAGGTGAGAAAGCAAGCCTTCAGGCCTGGGACTGAAACTGCGGTGGGCGCTGTGGGAGTCCAGCGCCCTCAACCACCACGCCACCTGCCGGCCCCAGGAGGCTGGAATTGTAACACCGTTTCTGCATACCGAGGGCCCCATCTACTAGTAAAGTCACCTCCAGGTGTTTCCGCTGGCAGTGCAGACTGCTGGGGCAGTGAGTCAGCCTCATCTCTGGGTCCTCTGGCAGAACACACGAGGGAGAGACGAAGTGACTCTCACCCCTCCAGGAGGGCCAGGGTCCCCGAGCTTTCAACCAGAAGCAGAGGAGCGAGTGTGGGCAGTGCTGGGAAGGGAGCACTGAGTGCTGGCGGCCACGGCCCCTTTCAGGGTGGCAGATCTTGGTCCCAGCCCAGGTCTCCCCACGCAGATCAGGTTGCTGTCTGATGGAGGGCGGGGCAGGGCTGGGGTTGCCGGTGTAATTGCCACTCAGGATAATGGTCACTTCCCACGCTTGCCAGCAGAACTGCCCTGTCACTTCAGATCATGGCTGGCAGAGCAGTGACATTCTGGCCCCATCCGAAAGCTATTCCATGTGGATCGCTCCCTTAATAAAGGCCAATTAGCCCAGAAGGCCGTGTGCAGGGTGTCTGCTGGAGCCGGGGAAGGGCTGGCACGGAGCTGCCGTGGCGAGGTGCCGGTGGGCCCTGGCTAGCCTCCTTGAGTGGGTTAGCCCCTCTGACTGCCGACTGCCCTTGGGCGTGAGGCTTGGCTGAGCCCTGCAGCTGCACAGGGGCATGTGCTCAGAGCTGGCCGGCCAGGCTGCACAGTTTCCAAGGGCTCCTGGCCGGGGCGCAGGCACAGCCTGAGCGGGCGGCCTGGGGTGTCACCGGGGTCTGTACAGTGCCTCCTCCCTGGGAACGGAAGTAGCGAGTGGGCCGAGGGATCCAGCAGGGAGCTCAGACTGGGGCCTGGCCTATCCATGCAGGGGAGGTGGAGGCTAGCCGGGCAGTGGGAGGCACGGAGGGGCTTCCCAGAGCACTCAGGCAGGAGGGTTTGGGCTGGGTCCCCAGAGGGCTGCTGCAAAGCTCTCCGGTGAAGTCAGGCGTGACTGTGCCCATGGCCAGGAGACAGATGCTGGGCCTGGCAGACAACCCGAGACCCCCGGAATGGGGCCATGGGGGGACGCCAGCGCTGTCTTCACTTCCTTTCCAAAGCATTAAAAATTAAACTTCCTTGTCTTAATATCTATTTTTAAATCATGTCAGAGCTGGCACTGGTGTCAGTCAGGAGGGTGGGGGAGGGGAGGAGAGAAAGCCCCACTTGCAGCAGGACATGGCTCTGCCTTGAGGAAGGGGCCCCGGCCCGCTGAACAGGACAGAAAACCCGCCCGACCTCCCCGCTCTGCCTTCGTGTGCCTGGCTGCCCTTGGCTGAACTTGGCGGCGGCTCTGTGGCCCTCGGCCCTCTGTGGCTTACGCGGGTGTTGGGGTCCCAGTTGAGGCCATTCACTCATGCCACAAGTATTCCCGGAATGCCCGCTGCGTGCGCGCGCCTCCAGTTGGTGAGAACAGAGCCGACTGGGCTCGCACAGGGCAGATCAGTTTTCTCGTGCCAGGAAGTCGTGGAATCGAGAGACCATCTGGCTCGGCCTGTGCCGGGCGCTCGGACACAGAGCAGCCAAGGGGG